AATCAATTTAGAGGTCACCTATAAAAGACCCTTACACATAGCTAACTAATTATAACTATGCAACTTTTAGATATAATGTTCTCAGAAAATGTTGTGAGTCTTTGATTATTTCCTTTCTGTCTTAAGGGATAATGCAAAAATGTGGCTAAACCTCTTACCTCTAGGTTTACCACAACCTAGAATGATCTTGGATAAAAATTCTTAGCTAATAATTTCACCTCATTCAAAACTACTAAATTTAAGAATGACATTACTTATTCTATCCACACGAACAATGAGTCGATTTATGAAGCCTGAAGAGATTTAAGGATTTGCTTAGAAAATGACCATATTATGATCTACCTGATTGGTAAATCATATAGATTTTTTTATAATGGGTTGTTAGAATCATTAAGATCAATAATAAATATTGTAGTAAAGAGTATTTAATGTTAAAATTATTCAACAAGACCTATGTACTGATTGAGAAAATAACTACTAATAATTTTTAATGACATTTCTATTGAGTCAACTCTATGAAAGTGGTTAGTGTACATGAGTAAGATCTGTTATGCATTCAAACTTCACACGTTGCTACAATATCTATGAAATTAGATAACCTAGTATTGAATTCAATACAAAGATGGATACTAAATCACGATAGTTCTTATGGATAATTAAGAGATCTTACTCCTACATTTATGAAGTCAATGATTATAATCAATAATCGCTCAACAACCCTTATTTTACTACCTACAATCTTGGTTAGAAAAATCATCTAAACTTTAATTGGGCTAATAAACAAAATAAATGAAGCACTCAATGGGTAATAACCAACATAAATTTTTAGTCAACAGGAACAATCAAAGTTATAATTTTGCAATCCTATACCTACTTACCCACCTATATTCACTTCTAATTCTCAGTTTAAAGAAAAAAATTTCATTAGAAGAATTAGTGTTAAGAATGAAAAACCAATTGCAAAGCCAAGCTGCAAATAATAAAAAAAACAATGAGAATTAATTGGGAAATGAGCAAATTTTAAGTATTAGATTCCAATGGACAATATCAAGTAACGTTGAAGCAAGTCCAAAAGATAAAACTATTAAGCTTAGGAGTGTGAAATGAGTTAAAAGTGATGATTAGAGAGGAAACTATCACAGAAGAGCTTAGGCCTGATAGATTTAGTAAGAAACATATACCAGGCATTGGAAATGAAGCCTCAACCAACAGGAAATAACCTAAGAAACCACACCAAATTTCCTTCAAGGACTTCAAAAAAATAAATTTGACCAATAGTTCTCTAGATTCTCAAAAGTGTTCAAAACCCTAATAATCAACATTCCATTTGCTAAGACTTTAGAATAGATGCACAATATATTAAATTCATGAAGAATATACTTAATAAGAAATGTGAACTAGGTGATTATGAGACTATTGCTTTAACTAAAGAATGTAGTGCAACCCTGCAAAAAATAATTCACAAAAACTTAAGAATCTTGGTAGTGGCATTATTCCTTGCATTATAGAAGATAAGCTCTTTGATAAAGCACTGTGTGAGTGAGGAACAAGCATTAATCTAATAAAAGACTATTCTTTAATATATCTTATGGGGTTATAGAGGAAGTCCTAGTGAAGATAGATAAATTTTTCTTTCTTATAAATTTTATTATCTTAGAAATAAAGAAAGATAATGAAATTTTTATTATTTTAAGTAAACATTTCTTAGTAATTAGAAGAGCAATGATAAATATGCAGAAAAAGAAACTTATTATTAAGAAGTGACTTTAATGTATTAAAATCAATGAAGTTTTCTCACAACTCTAGTGATGACAACGGCTATAGAGTAAACTTTGTGGATGGGATTATGAATTTTTTAGGGCTTTATGGATCCTATAAGAGATATATTACGAAATTCTCTAAAATTACTAAACCTTTCTCTCCCATTAAAAAAATAGTTCATTTTTTTACAATGAGTTTCTTGAAGCTTTTAAGCTTCTTAAGCAAAAGCTAATCACCACACCAATTATTGTCGCACCTAATTGACATTACACTCTTGAACTAATATGTGATTTGAATGACAATATTGCAGGAACTATCCTTGGAGAAAAGATTGAAATGACTTTTCATATCATTTATTATGCTAGCAGAACTCTCAATAATGCACACATTAATTACACTTCCACTAAAACTTAGCTACAGTATTTTCACTTGACAAATTTTTGTCCTGCTTAATTGGTATAAAGTTAAAGTTTATACAGATCATTCTACGTTCAAATATTTTATAGTTAAGAAGGATGCTAAAAGTTTTATTGAATGAATTTTTCTTTTACAAGAATTTGATCTAGAGATTTGTGATAGAAATGTTGCAAAAAATCAAGTAGATGACCATAGTTTTTTGTCTTGAACAAAAAAATTCTGAGATTTAGCATAATGATACCAATGAAAGAATTGAAAAGAAATTGGGCTTACATGGATATATTTGTAAATATCACAATAGCTCATATAGGAGCAAGAACAAGAACTAAAAACAAAGAACTCATGAAGACTTCGAAACCCGCCTACAAGCATGAACAAAAGTTCTCATCAAACGCCCTAAAACTTAAATAAACTATGAACTGCATGCAAGAAATATGACAATGATTTAAGCATGCAATAAAAGTTTTAATTGATTGGCAATCAACACACATATACAACCAAACCAAATGTTATCTTTGTGAAATTTAAAATGAAACACTACACGTATGAGGCTTTTTGCACAAATAGTCATATTCTCATAATTTCAGGCCTCAAAAATTCTAAAGGCTATTTTCAACTAGAATAAATGCCTCAAAATTCATTAAAGTATCATGAAGATTATGGAAATACACCAAACGAATGTAAACATCATTAAAATTGAATGTCTTCATGTCCTCCAACTAAAGTGCTCAATGCTCAAACGTATGGTCAATGAATATTGTGCAGACTAATAAAAAATTAAATCAAATAGTCTCGCTTCTAAAAGCATGTCATCAACTAACATTTTTTATATGGGCTTTAACTAACATGCTAATGCTTGATAATAGGTCTAAGTATACAATACAAATGTAAAATTAACTCGAATTATCTTAATGTCCAAAACCAAAGTGTTAAAAACTCAATTATAATAAAAGAATGCTATGAAGACTAGTATAAAATGAACTCGAAGAATATCTATATGTTCTCCTACTAAAGCATAAAATGCTCGAACTTATAGTTTAAGAATGTTACATGGACCGTCGTAAAATGAATTCAAATTATTTGCATGTGCTCCAACCAATATATTAAAATGCTTAAACTAACCATCATAAAATATTATACAAATTAAAGAAAAAGAAATATATTAGAACTTAACCCCCATCTTGAAAGCATGCAAGAACAATTGTTTAAACGTAAATTCATAAAACTTCACTCTCAATCAGACTACCTTACTATAAAACAATGTCATAAATCTCACTTTGAAAGTATGATCATCCTATAACAAGAACTAAAATTGACGTGACTAAATCCCACTTAACAAGTTCGATCCAACTCCGAAGTCTAAATTGATAAGACTTCAATCTTGTAACAAGCATCATCATGATAAAGCTTATAATGACAGGAGATCGATATTTACCTTTACATAAAACCTTCAAAATTTCTTTTAAATAAAATTTATTTTTAAAATATAAACTTGATTTCAAATTATAAGAAGCAATCATGAGGTTAGGTATACAAGCTCGATGCTTAATACATGAAATCGAATAGACACAGTTAATGACAAGACGAAATTTAAATAAACTCAAATCACATGCAAAATCAAAGACCATGTCCTTTACGAACAAAATCTGTAATGTAAAAAAAAAATATCTAAATTATCCTCTGCAGGATAGGAAAGGGATAGGGCAAACAAAGTTTAAACCAATCATGATGACCACAATAACAAGAATATTCAACCAAAGAGTTCATTTTTAAAATAAAAACTCTAGAGTTCGCATTTTTAAGAAAGTTTCAATAACATGATATATTGGTCATTAAAACACCATTACGCACGCACACAAAAATGCACACGCATATCCAACACCCTAGTGTGTGCATATTCACATATAAAAAAAATTATTAAATATTATAAAATTAAAAATTATTCAAATAAAAGCTATTATTTAAAATAAAATTTATGATGATATGATAAATTTAAAATACAGTGTACTCTACAATTTTAATAATTAACCATAATAAAAAAAAATTTCCTCACTGCAAAACAAAAATAATTTAAGCATGTGTTTACACCATTGACAATCCTTGAGTCAAACCTTAAAATTTCTGCCAAATAAATGGAAAACCTCTAGGAATATCTAAAATCTAATTTATCTTAAAATATTTGACCCGAAACCATACAAACTCGCCGGCAAGGCATGAATTCTTTAAACCCACTTTTAGCACCCTGATGAATCCTATTATAAGAAAATATTTCTCATCATAAAATTCTAAATTCTGAGTTATCAAAGATAAGTGCAGCAACAGGAAAACAAAATTGTCAAGGAACAATCATAAACAAAGCTTTAGTAATTATATTTTTTTGGAATAGCAGATAAATGTCACATCCCAAAAGAGCTATTAGGGGTGGTGGGCAGCCCAGGACTTAAATACAGCTTTTCGGCCCTACACCTAACAGATGTGGGACTTTTTGTCTGTAACATTCTTCTCCACACAATCACGTGACATCCTCGTCACGGATCGGCTCCACTGAGGGTCTCACTAGACCATGGAGGGTCCACACACCTGTCAGACAGTTATCTGCTCTGATACCATTTGTCACCTCCCAAAAGAGCTCTTCGGGGTGGTGGGCAGCCCATGACTTAAATATTGTTTTTCGGTCCTACACCTAACCGATGTGAGTCTTTTTGTCCGTGACATAAAACTCTAGATTATATCCCCCAACATTAGATTTATACTTGTAACACCCACCGCTTCAAAAAATAAGTAAATAAATAAAATTTGACAGCGATGCCCAACAGTAAGTGAATGGCCAGTAAAATGAGTGCTCGCATAATCGGTATCAAATTTTTCTTGAATGACTTTTTTTTTTCTTCTCTTACATTGATTACAAAGCACTCTAACAATAAACACAATGAGCAAATAAAAATACCTACGGGTGACAGCACAGATTCTAAAATGATGAATAAAAGTACAAATCGGCTTAAACAATTAATTGTTCACAACAAACAGGAGATGGAGAGAATGTGAAGAATTGTAAAGAACAGGAATAGAAAAATAAATGATGAAGAATTTGTACACTCATTGTTGAAATGTTTCTGAAGGCAAACGAGGTCCTAAGGGATGAGTCTCATCGCTTGTTTCAGAAACATCTGTTGACCTACCTGACGATGGCTTGGCGCCGAAGGATGCAAGATTCTTTAGCCATGACCCCTGCAATCTAGGAGTGGTTCCTTCTCTGTTTGAGTCAGTTGAAGGCTCTGGAGAGGCTTGTAAATTTGAAGCTTTGCTTGCAAGGAATCTATAGGCCACTTTACTTGCTGTTATGATCTCATCTTTTGCCCTCCTTAGCTGGAATTAGAAGGAAAAAAAATGAAGAGTCAGTCAAATGCTAAAAACAGCAATTCACCATCTTTTAGATAATTTATCAGTTTTAGCGATCAATATGTTTTTATAAATAAAATAGGACAGGCCAATTCAATCGTGAACAGGTTTCCTCCGGCCAATTTGGTCCAAGTCCAAACCCGGTTTCGCACAAAATAGCGGTTGTACGATGAAAACAGTATGATCTTTTACGAATCATTTGATTTTACTATTGATTAATTTTTTTGCTTTTTTTAAATTTTGATCAAACGGCTAGAAATAAAAGATTAAATTTAAAATAGAGAAAATAATTAGATATCATATCCCAAAACTTTTTGACTTAGAATTTCATAATAATAAAGAGAGAAGTTTCATGAATTAGATTATTGTACATTGATGAATTAGATTATTGTACATTGAATTAATGAAAATATCATTATTCCATCATTATTATATTTTTAAGTCATATAAATAATCTGAATATTTATTACATCAATCAATTCAACCCTAATTGAACTATGGAGCATTGAAATCCTCCTTCTGGTTCAATATCCAATCCGATTTTCAAAACCTCATCTACAACCCTACCACTACATTCCAAGAAATAGTCTCACAGTCAAAAAAAAATCATAAAGCTTATATGGATGCGAGGACTTTGCAATCGTCTCTATGGCCAAATTAGCATAAGCAGTAGAGGCCAAATTGTAAAAAGCTTTTCAACTACTTCCGCTTTCGATATATTCTTAAAGAAACTTCTGTAAAAGAGCAACTCAAGCAGGGATGCCTTACAAATCAGAATAATGCAACACAAAATGAAATTCAAATAGAAGTGCACAATAAGTTTGTCATTTGCTTGATGACACGCCATCCCACCAGGAGTCACAGATTGCAGAGTAAGAATGTCAACTGTGTTTTTGTTTTTTACCCTCAAATAAAAATATGACAAATATGAAGAGTGAGAACTGGTGTTACATAAGCAACTAGCTTCTCTGTTCTTTAACGCTGTTAAACATGATTAATACTTTATATGATAGATTTTTAAGCATATAATCCACAAAGGCCATCTTTCCGAGCACAATACAAGAACCCTTGTATCTGATTCTAAAGAAATAGAAATCGGATAACTATTACTTCCAAAATCAAAAGGAATAAAAAATCAGAAAGCCTATCTAAAACTTGCCTCTAAGAAGATCATTTGGGAGGCTCCTATGCTTTTGTCACTCGTCTTCTGTTGGTGGCTGGCTTGGCATCCCCTCTCAGCTGTTTATAGCATGGCATAGTATTCTTGGGAGTGGTATGCCCACAATAAAAGAAAGAAAAACATTTGGGGTATTATGTATTTGTGTGTGCTGGTAATGCGAGCAATCTGGTGGCTATTGTTGAGAGAGGCCAAATGGAGGTAAGCTTCCCTCTATGAAACTAAACTATTGAAACTGGCAATTAGTCAAGTAGTATAATTGTGTAGCTCCAACTTCTAAGCATAGCTACAAATACTGATTAGCCACATCGAGTATTTTCTTTGTTCATTAGCCATTTCCATTTCATTAATAGCTCTAAATTATTTATTCCAAGTTTCCTTCCCATTTCCAGATCGCCCAAGTGTTCCACTCAGCAGAAAAGATAAAAGCGCTGAACTTCAAAGCACCATGCATTGTGACAACATATGAGTAGAAAATCTTCCTACGCAATACAATTAAATCCCGCTACTCAATTTCAGTAACTAAAAGCAGTTGAGAGCAAGCATATAGACGTAAGGTCAATTGTACCATGAAGATCAATGGTTTCATGTTTGTAAACATCAATCATTTGTCTGGCATGTGGAGGCACATGCTTCAAGAGTGGAGTAAAACTTTGGTGCAAAGAAGCCTCTCCAAAATCTAAAGCACTAAGTTAATTGGCCGAAGATGAAAATGTATGTGCAATATTTTTAAAAAGATGTCTACTCTGCATTACATCGATGCTTTCAAATTGGACGATTGGTCTGGTCAAGACCCAATCGGTCATCATAAGTCATATAGATGGACTTCTTGAAAGGATTATCAGAGACATGATGAGGGTTTAATTGCCTACTCTTCACAGTGAACTGTTTCAACAATATAGGACGTCTCTTCATAGTGAACCGTTTCAACAATATAGGACCTTAGTGTAGGAAACTATCACAAGTGAGGAAGCCCCAAAGTTGCTTCTAACAAAATGTTTGGAAGCACTTTTGAGTTTCATTCATCTATCATTTCTCATAGGGGCAATATGTTTCTCATTAATTTCTGAAAGGCTCTTTAGGATTTGATGGATTCCAAACTATTGAAATGAGATCTTTCATTCACAAATAGATGGCAAACAGACAATAGTTTGTATGCTAAGAAACTAAAATTCACTACATCAAAAAAACAAGAGATGAAAGCCTTTTATACAAGCAATTTGTTGTGCTCTCCAAGGGTCAGCATCAAAGTCACCATCCGAAGTGCATTTGGGGTGCCTGCCAGAGTGTTATTGATCTAGAGTTTTTAGTTAACACATCGTAGGACGGTGAATGTGTAAAGGAGGTAAAAGCGCATCAATTTCTAGAGGGAATTCTCAAGATCCACTACAGGAAAACAAAAAAAAAAACCACAACAGAAGTCCAAGGCTCGAATGATACACAGGATCATATGCACCTCCCAAGAAGATCCAGTTTGGTTGAATTTCGGGGAGGATGGCATGATCAAGTCCATTCGTTATGGTCCATTCCAGATCTTTTAGAACATTGATGGAAATGTTTTCTAGTACTTTATAAATAAGGATCTACTCTATTATTATCAAACACACAGAATATGTAGTTATTTGAATCATCACAGTTAAATGATGATAAGAGACACAAGGTAGTAACTCTTACGGTCGAGAATCTAAAAATCAGCTTTGAAGGCCCGCTATAAGAGTATGCATTATGGATACAAAGGCCACCTTGATGGGAACATTATCAAAAAGGACATATTCTAAAGCAGGTTAAATGATATTTAAACAAAAAAATTTGAAACTACCACAATTTAAAGTTATTTACAACATCAAATGAAGGCAGAGTAGAGACTAATAAATGTCAAAATCAGGAAGATCCCTAGAGAAAACCTGAGAAGATCCTTAAAGAAATCTGAGAAGAACTTCGAGAATTTGATTGGAAAAATTTGGGAAACTCTTGATTAGTTTATTCTCTTCCTATTCTATGCTATTTTATTTTTAATTTCAGAATTATTTCCTTTCCTAATTTAGTTTAGATATATTTGGCAAGTTTGTAAATTATGAGGGATTGTTTTCCCAATATATATATATATATATATACCCTACATGTAAATAAATCATGAGAATTATTCCTCTCCAAATCAATTTTCTACATTGTATTAGAGCCCAAATACATAACCAATCTCCCTCCGGCCACCAGACCTCCTCCATCAAAATACACCCTCTGTCGGGACTGGAAATCTCTAAAAGCCCTTTTCCCTACTCTTCCTTGCAGCAGGAATCCCCCCTTCAGCCCTGCTACTGCTGAAAATCTCGTTACAGCGTAAACTCCTTGCAGCAGGCCCACCTCCGAGCAGAACTTCTACCAAATGTAGGCAACAGTGAAGAGTCGGGCAATAGCAAGCAGCCAAATAAATTCTGTCAGATTAAGTTCTGTCTCCAGCATAAGTGGCCAAAATCTCTCTCTATGGCTGGATCAGAACTTATATTCCCAGCGACGGCAGAAACAAGAGCAACAGAACAACAACGGCCACAATCAACAGTCAAAGGTAGCAAACACATCTGTCCATTGCAGTCAACCAGAAAAAATATTAAAGTATCCTAAGGTTGATGACCAAGCATAAGATGAAGACTTTATATACTACTCCACAGCTTAACTCTGAATCAGAAACCAGGCATTCTATCCAGACGACTCTTGAACTCTTTAACTTTAACACAAATCATAACTCAATAGTCATAACTACCTTCAATGGTCTCAATCTATGTTTATATATATTTGTGATAAAAGGAAAGAGAAACATCTCACGAAAGTAGGCACGATTCCTGAGATTACTGACCCCAACTACCACACATGGAAAAATCAAGATAATATGGTTGTCTTGGCTAGTCAACTAAATGACCTCTGAAGTTGGAAAAAAATTTCTACTCTACAAAATTGTAAAAGAAATTGGATAGGCTGCAAGAAAAACATATTCCATCACTGAACATACTGCAAAGTTGTTTGAGATCGTAGCCAAGCTTCATGACCTTCGTCAAAGTGTCACCACAATACTTCAACACCTTAACAAAGTATTGATTACAATTGGATATGATTGAGACGTGTAGAAATGTCCACATAATGACATGATGTTTAAATCAATTATCGAAAAGAAGAGAACTATCTAATTCCTAGTATGACTAACTCATGAACTAGATGAGGTGAGAGGGAGGATCATAGGAACAAAGCCCCTTCCATCTACCTGTGAAGTCTTTGTTGAAGTCTAGAGAGAAGAGAGCAAATAAAATTGAATGTTGATTGGAAATGGGAGTTTACCAAGTATTGAAAGCACAAGGAGAAAACTTCATAATTCCTCCTATAACTCAAAGCACAAGGAGAATCATCCCACATGTGACTATTGCAAGAAGATTGGGCATATCAAAGACATATGTTGAAAACTTCGTGAAAAGCCTAGTATTAGATTTAACAGCAATCAAATCCTCAGTCGTTATTACTTATTATTTTTTTCCTATTAGTTTTTATTCCCTTATTATGTATTTCGTTTTTACTTTATTCTACTTTATTCCTTTCCTATTTGGTTTATTTTTTTTATTTCTTTCCTTCGTTATTTATATTGTATTTGGCTTTAAATACCCCTCATTCTTTCAATAGAATTAAGTTGCTCTATTTCAATTCTCAACATGATATCAGACTCTAACCCTAGATCCAACAGCCGCTAGCCTCCCTATCAATTCCAGCAACCGCCACCTAGTCGTCAGCCTCCATTTGTTCCAAAAAA